AGCATCGGACTTTAGGGTTTCACAGTCTTGGACACGGAATATCTTCTATTGTAGATACGATACATTTAATTTTGAATATTAAATTATAGCAAGAGGATGATTCTCGAATAATATATCAACTAATACCGGAAAATCTTTCCATCAACTGTGATTTGTTAAATCTGTTTTAAACGTGGGGTATATTCGTATCTTAGAAGCATGGAAAGTATTCCGCTGCAAGGATTGTCGTCCACGCAACTCCACACAAAACGGAAGATTTCAAATGGCCGGTTTATTGCCTACGGTTCGTTTTTTATCGTTTTTGGATCCGCGTCCTTTTAAAATGGATCCGGGTCGGGTCGATTCCTAGTGGATTTTGTCACCTCAGTTTTTTTCCGAATTATCTCCCCAAAATCTCCCTGTTTATCCCTGTTTCCAAACACCCTTTCTTTGTTAATTGATTGGCCTTTTGGTAATTTACTCGTTTTAGCTCCGAAAATTTTCAGACTAGAATACCCTTTGTGACTCAGTTTTAATAGTATTGATATAAAAAGAAGTATAGGTAAAAACTAAAAAGCTAATATATGGTATAGAGAAGAGAATTGGACCAAGCTATGAAATTATTGAAATTAATTTTTGCAATTTAACTCAATAAATTAGGCTAATCACGCCCCTGGTTAGTGGTTACAGTCTTAAAGAGGTCTAAATGTGATTTTAAGGATGAGATAACATTTATAGACGGTGTAGTTACACTTTGAAACATAAAGCTGATCAGTGTTTGTAATCAACTGTTTTGTATTAGAGTTAACTTATCGATAAGTACATGTTCAAATGGGAGTGTTCCTGGGTGAGTTGGAAAAAAAACATAGTAAATTACATTTGACAGAATTTACTTATAACAATTATATACAGTTTATACAGTGTGATTGATTTTTTTTTTCTAAAAAAAAAGATACTCGTATAGTATAATTTCTTATAAATACTGACAATCTAAGTTCTTACAAATCGAATTTTTATAATTAAGTTAGAACTAATTAACTATAGATTCTAGGTGGTAACACGCTATAGTCTGATATTATTCTATTTGGATTCGAACCAAACCGAATCTCAATAGTTGTATGTCCTTCTGTATAACGGGTCAAAGTCTTTTTTGGCAGCAGTTTACTTAGGTGCACAAATGAAGTGTAACGTAGGATGTTGAATTTGTCAGCAAAAGTCAATGTAGAGTTGTATTTGTATGATTGAAACTTTCTTTAGTCTCCAGAACATCTGTGCACCCAAAAAAAGTTTCTAGAACGTCTATATACGTCTAATGATCATGATCTCGAGGACTCAAATATTTCCTTATCCTATATGTGTACAACAGGCCCATGGTTCTCTGCTAACTATAGTCTTAATTTCAATTTCTGTTTTTGGTTTTTGTCAGCTGATTTTAATTCTGTTTGGCAAATACGAGAAGAAGAGATTTGGAGAGCTCTAGAATTGTATTTTCTGGTATATCGGGTAGAGTATGAAAGTTTAATTGAAAATCAATGTTTAATATATCTTAGTGTAATCTGAGAGAACTTCATAATCAAACATACATGAGTAGAAGTCATCCAAAAATAGTTTAGTAAGTAAGTTAATGTACCATAATAAATAAAATAAAGACAAAATACGAAAAATTATTTCGTATGAATACTTGAATAGTGTATGTAATTTGACTATGAAGTAACTTTTATCAACCAAAACTCTGTTGGTCATTTGTAAACATAAAAGCTAAACACATATAGAAAGAGAATCCTCCGTTTGCATTTGATGTTTGTGTTTAACGTTTTATGTTCACACATCCTAAATAAATTTTTTTTCAACAGCCTATATTCCTATAATGGGTCAGCGACCAGCCTGGAGGAACAATGTTTATGTAATACACATTATGAAGGAGATCTTGTGCACTTTGTGCTAACTTGTCTGTCTTTGCATTCTTTGTCCTTGGTATGTGTTGGATGGAAAAGGAAGTGAACATTTTCGTGCACCTTTCTACCTCTTCCAGAAGAATCAAAAAATCTGGCTACTCTGTAGGGTTAGACACCATCTTAACCACATTCGAGCAGTCTGTCTCGAAAATCATTGCTTGTTTGTTGTGTTGAATCATGCAATGCATAGCCCACACTAGAGCTTCGACCTCCATATGAAGTGGTGTGAGCCCCGACGTAAATTACTTGATCCCATAAGTTCTATCAGAACCACCCTAACCCCGCATGGCATTCTGTCATCTTCCACACCCCATCAACCTGGCAACAATCACCATATGTATGTGGTTCCACCCTTGTATTCGTAGGTGGACTTATTAGTTCATGCTGGTGTTGGGCTGTCGCCCAAGCATTTGCCTCTGCTGCTACTAAAGTTATAATCTCGCGAGGATCTCTATCCAAATTTGAAAATAATTTGTCATTTCGATATTTCTATATATACCATATTAGTCAAGGATAAATCGACATTTGGTCATCTTGTGGTAGATGCTAAAATAAATGTGTCATATTAGTAAACACTGCCCATGTAGGAGTGTTGGGGGCACTCAAAGACTGCATGATTTACCGTCTCCTCCTGCATACCACATCTTGTACAAGTTGGGTCAATTTGTATACCTCGACTTCTTAACCGAACTCCAACTGAAACACATCCCGTTAGAGTTTGCCACAGAAAATGTAGTAAAAAAAAGAGAAAATTACTTAAACTAGCACACACACAAAAATGAAAACAAAATTTGCATTTTAAAAATGTATTAAGAATACTCACATATTAATAAAAAGTCAGAAAACAAAATTTACTTTTGAAACAATAGAAACCTCAACCAACTTGCTATGCATTGCAATTGTACATTTTAATTCAAACAAGTAGCATAAAGTTATAGAAGACGACTTTAGAGAAGTTAGATTTTGATTAAAGATGAAATATAGAGCTTAGGTGTTGAACAACTTGTACCAGCTTTCTACTTACAATTTTTTCGCTTGTTGTCTTGGCTATTCTAAGATCAATGCCCCCACGTGAGTATCGGCTCACCTACCTTACCCATCTGTATTAAACTACATTTCGGGTATTTATTTTCCGGTTTCTTGTCACCTTTGCAGCTCATTTTGTTTATACGTTTTCAACTTTAAATAATATTTTGTTCATGCTCAACTTTGAAATTTCTTATATTACGATAGGCTAAAATCTCGAGGAATAGAATTATGAGGCTAACAAGCGAACAGTTGTAAGCATTCAGGGGCCATTACAGATAAATTGAACCAAGTGGTTGTGCCATCTCTTACCTTGAGCACGAGACTTCGGCTCTTGTTTCCCTATGGACTTAGTGGACCCGGTTAAAAAAAGAAAATAAAGATAAATTGAAAGATCATACTACTTATTAATTTTTGCTTGTATAAAGAACTACATAGATGCAAAGAATGTATTGTTAGGATGTGACTTTATTATCATCCAAAAATCAAATGAAAATTGTACCACTTCAGATTTGCTTTCGTATGGATGTTCAGTCCAAAATTAACCAATTCAATAGAAACCTAGGAATCCAGATTAGGCAATGACCAAAGCCAAACCGATTAAAACCGGATCTAAAGCATGAATAAATGTTAATTTCTTTTAAAAAGATAGTTATACTAGTAGAATAATCATTAGTGGAATGGTTGAATCATAGCAGAAACACTAGAGCTAAAAGTCTAAAACATTCGTAAGCTAAATAACAAAAAGTTACGATTTAGAAGATAAATTAAATTTTGTTCTTCTCTATTTACAAAACTAAAATGCGTGAGGTGGATCCTCAACTTGCCTTATTTGGAAGCTCACGGTTTTAGGGGATTTAAAAATGGGAAATTACAGTAAGTGACCATATTATGAGGTATAATTAAGTGAATGATAATAACAAAAGAATGGCTAAAATATATGGTGTATATTGTGTATTATATACAATTTAGCCCTTGTATGTTGAATTTTCATTTTTTTTGAAAAAATATCACTTTTTCTTCGGCGAGTGAAACTGACAAAAAACAGAGACAAAAAAAAAAGAGAAGCGAATTTGGGAATTTTGACTGGGAGAATCTAAGGTCGGAAAATCGAAGGAGGATTAGTTAAAGGGACCGTAAGTCCGACGGACACAGCGGAAGAGGAGGTAGAAGTCCGACGCTATTCGTCAGCGTCTAGGCTGAAGAAGGACGGCGGCGGTTTCATTGAAGTGATTACTGATTCCTCATCCGCTCCTGCCGACCCAGCTTCCACTGAAGTTAGATTGATCTACAACAACCGTAGATCCGTGATTAGACGTCGGAGATCCGGTCGTCATCCATCGTTTAACCCGGTCAACCGAGACGCGCTTTTGACGGATCCGGATTGGGTCTAAGGCCGCTTCCGGATTCTGTATCTGAGCGACAGCTCGAACAGCCGAGTCAAGATGGTAGATCTGAAAACCATCCGGCGTCGAAATCGGCGATTGAGTCTTTATCGAGGGTTGAAATCTCTGATTGCCACATATGTGCGGAGGCCAATTGCGCTGTGTGCACGGAGGTTTTCGAGCTAGAGAGGGAAACGCGTGAGATGTCATGTAAGTGAGATGTCATGTAAGCACATTTTCCACCACGACTGCATCGTATCGAGCTATCAATCCGGATTTGGATGTTCTGGGTGTTTGATGTTGTTCATATTATTGTAGACTTGTAGTTCCCACTCTTGTTACCATTTTGATTTTCTATGCTTGATGTTAATGTATAATTCTTTGTTATACCATTTTCTACCTTTTGTAAATAGTATAAGGACATTTTACTATAGTATAGTCTACATTCTTTCTTCCTTTATTCCTTTAACTATTGTAGTATGAATTCGTAGATTCTAAATTTCAGCTATAAACCCTAAACTCCAAATTAGATGTACTTGTATTTATCAGTTTGGGTTGAGTTGAATGTATTGTACATTTATTTGTTTGGGTTCACTAATGTTGATTAGGGTTTAATTTTAACTGGATTCATCCTCAAATACAAAACCCTAAACTTCAAATGGAATGTATTGTACATTTGTGGATGAAGTTTAATTCTGCATCTGTTAATGGTTCGACAAAAAAAAATTGGGGATGAAGTTTCCTGCTCACGAACAAGGTCAGCGACGTCACCAATTTTTTTAGGGAAAAATTCCCACCAGTTTAAGGGACATAATTGGATAGCAAAGATTTCTCTTTGTTAATGCCTTAATTTTTAAGATACAATGGCTATATTCTTAATT